GCCCCTAAAAATGTGCCGCCCCAAGCACCAGCTTGTTTTGCTGGTGCCTAGAGCCGGCCCTGCACAGAACACAAAAAGGATCCCTGTCTCAGAAGTAAGATTTCACTAGTGTTGGTGTAACTACATTTCTTAAACTAGCTGCTGTACATTTCCGAGGCTGCCTTTCACACCTCCTGTGGCACTGAAGCCTTTTGGAGTTGTGTTATTGCCTTTAATTGGAGCAGAATCTGCCCGTTCCATGAGGGTCGGCTTTGTGGGTGGTACCTCAGACTTTTGCAATATATATTTAATTTTTTTCATTGCCTGTTTGAACCAGAGCGAGGCAACTCCATTTTCTCATTCCTTTTGTTTTTCCAGACATAATGAGTGACATCTGTGCACAGCCATCATAGCCACTACAGAACTGGCATTCTCTTGCAGTTTACCCTGGGGAAATATGTCCAGAACTTCCCCCTTCCCTCCCCTGCAATTCCCAAAAAAACCTCTCCAGTGAGCAACCTGCTCTCTCCAACACAATAGAATTGCAGTTCTGTGATGTCTGTGAACTAGGGTGACCATATTTCCCTATGCTGAATACATTTCCCTATGCTGGTAAAATTACTCGTTTTCAAGTGAGTTCAATGGCAATCAATGAGAACTATGCAGTACGAACGTTCAAATTAACATCAAGTTGACTGAGCCCCTGTTAAAAAGAAATATTGCTAGTTGGATTCTTTTTTTTTTTTTTTTAACCTTATCTTTAAGGCTTTAGGGTTCACACAGGGAGGGGTCTCACACACACACACACTCCCGTACACCTCTCTCACATGGAGGATGGGGGGTGACTGACCAACCTCCCCTTCCCTGCCCGGTGCTCTCCACCCTCCATGCCTGGCTGGGCCCCTGGGACGGACCCGCCTCTCCTAGTACCTGGCGCCGCCTCGTCTGCCCAACCAACACGTGGGGGAGGGGGCATGTAGTGTCACAGGAAGGAAGGGGTTAAGCCCTAAGGATTTGTTGTTCACCAGGGCCCAGGGAACCTGACTACAGGGGCTTCAAGGGCAGCCTGGCCAGAGAGGTAGCTCAGCAGGGGAGGGTGCCGAGGGGACCGAGCAGCCCTGCGCTCCCTGGGGGAAGGACCCAGGGTGGGGGGTGACGATGATGCTAAGCCCCTGCCCTGGGGGCTGCTGTGGAGCCTGCACGTTCAGGGCATGCACAGGCTGGAAATCGCTTCCTCCTCCCCCGCCAGTGTGGGGCTTTGGCACATGCAGGTCTGAGCACCTCCTGGCCAGCACCCTGAGCTGGAGGGTCTTGGGCTTTCCCAGGATGCCTGCCCAGCCAGAGGCAGTGGGGGAAGGAAGGAGCCTGCCAGCAAGCTGAGAGGTCCGACCAGGGGCTGGATCTCCACACAGCGCTGGGAGCAGGACATGCCCTGCCGGGGGGGATATGAAGGCGCAGTGGGGCCGGGAGAGGACAGTGAGAGGGGAAGCACGTAAAGGGCTGATGGGTAGACAACAGATGCAACACATGGCCAGCTGCTGCCTGGCACCTGCTCACACACACCAGTCACTGCAGCTTGCAGCGCACAGCCAGTGCCAGCCAGAAATGGGATAAGGGGGCCCTGCTGGCTGAAAGCAGGCACTCAGCAGGGGCTGCACTGATGGACCAGCAACGGGAGCAGCCAGCCCCGCATACTGCATCTTTGCCCCGCCACCAGCCTTGCACACACACCCCCATTGTCAGCCACTGGACCCCCCCCCCACACACACACACTCACTGCTGGTGGGAGGGTGGCTGGTGAGCAGGGATCTGGCCAGCAGCAGGACCCAGCACCAATACTGATGGCAATAAGATAGAAAATACGGGACAATTTGCACATTTTAAAGAAAAAGTTGGGACACCTACAGGAGAGTTTAAATACTGGATTGTCCCTTTAAAAATGGGACATCTGGTCACCCTACTGTGAATGCGTTCCAGCATCATTACACTGTGAAGCAGATGGACCAAATGGACCTGTACAACTGAAGTACAATTTGTTTTTAAAACAATTTGTAAAAAGCTAGAAAACAGATAAGGGGGCTCAACATGCTCCCACTGAATGCAATGGCAAGCCTCCCATTGACTTCAGTGGGAGCAGGATCCTGCACATAATTAGTATGCTTGTAAGCAGTTCATGTTCACATGATGTATTTCCTTTAAATACCTTGGTTGTCTGGGAACAATGGGCTGGATCCTCAGCTAGTGTAAATCGTTGTTGCTCCACTCCACTTGCTCTACAAGAGCGCTATGGTGATTTACACCAGCCAAGGAGCTGACCTACTATTTTCAAAATATTAATTGTTGTTAGTGCAGTTTGAGGACTAGCTGCCTGAAAAATATATTTTTCCAAATTGTTTCCAGTGAAGAGGCTTAACAAAAGGGATTTTTCCCGATCTTCCCATACATCTGAAACCCAAGGAAAGCTTCCTTTTTTGCCCATCTTAGAAGCAAGAGAATGTCTAAAGCTATTGAAATAACTCTTTGAAATCCAAATTCAGGCTGACAACCTGTGCTCTGTGTTTTAGTGTGATGAGCTTTGAGAATGTCATGCCTAAACAGCGTGGTCTGTGATAGAACTCCACGGCACTGCTACTGGGCACCTCTAAAATACCTGTTTGCCCAGCCTGTTTCATTTGAATGTTGAACAATATGTGGAAGGTTCTGAGTCTTAGGAAACACTTGTAAAGAGTAACCTCATAGTATTCTGGGAATATTAAATGTTCATTAGTGAATATTCCATACATGGTGCAAAACTGTTACATTCATCGTAGTAACTTGGAATACATTTTTAATCAGTTTAATTTTTCTACTTAGCATCCACTAAGACAAGTGATGTATCAAAAGAGAGTCTTGTACCAACCAGGCATTGCACATGTACCAACATTGTCTTTTCCACTGTGGGGCCTGTGGTGTACCTTGCAATCTCAGCCATATTTGGGTTTCTTAGAAAACTTATTTTTGAGTGTAACACTACCAAGTGCTGAGTTTCTTCACCTCCAAAAGTTTTCTGGTATGTTTGCCCACAAGCTGAGATCTTCCAGGCCGGGGAAACTTAGTCAGGAAGTTTAAATTAGAACATGGACCCATTGTGCCCAGACCTATCTGTATATGTAAGAGGTGTTTTTTTTTTTTTTTTTTTTTGCATCTCTCACTGGAGTAGTTAAGCTATACTGGACCATTACCTTTCCTTTCCTGCATACAGGCTTCCCAACATAACTGTCCCCTGGCTGGAAGAGCTGAACTCTGCAGCCCCCTTCTGAAGTGCAGGCAATGGATAGTATAAAAAGTCTGTTAAGTTTTCTTTAAGAACAGCACAATATAGACATTGGATATCTCAGAACTTGGCTGATTGCTTGTCTCAACAGAGAAAATTATTACAATAATCTGCATTATAGCACTTAGAGCTTTGAAAAGGAGCTTTCACTACAGGGTGGAGCTTTTTACTATTAGGGGGGGGTAAGAGGGGAAGGGATTGTTCACTTAGGATTGTTTACTCCAGCAAGCAACCCTGTGCTCGTTGTTTGGCTGATTTTTTTTTCCTCCCTCCCCCCCTCCAATTTGGCAGACTGTTCTATATCACATGGATCACATTCTTGTTTGCACTGTGACACAGAGGAAACTATTTTTTATTGACCTTGCTGTTGTCCCTAGTGATTGAAAACAACAGATAAATTTGGTGAGCAGGAAGACTTGATCTGTCATTTGAGTTTCTTGACTTTGAAGAATCTTTAAATAAAAGCTATAGTATGTCTACACAGCAAATAAAAACCTGTGGCTGGCCCGTACCAGCTGAATCGGGCTCACGGGGTTCAGGCTAAGGGGCTGTTTAATGTAGACGTTTTTGCTGAGGCCAGCTTTGGGACCCACCCACCTCGCAGGGTCCTAGAGACCAGGCTGCAACCTGAGCCCAAATGTCTCTGGCACAGTTAAACAGCCCCTTAGCCCAAGCCTTGCGAGCTGGAGTCAGCTGGCACTGGCCAGCCACAGGTTTTTATTTTAACTGCAGTTGACATACCCTCAACTGCTTTTACTTTATTTGACTCCCCAGAGAACAATCCTGATGACTTCTAATTAGAAGAAAAATTCTGCCTTGTCCCTATGTAACTGTCCCATGAATGTCAGTGAGGATTGTGTACGAGGATCTGAGGACAGAATTTTTTCAGGGAAAGATGCTATGCATTTCTAAAAATGATGATTGTTTGGTTACTCGTTTATGATGCAGGCAGTGTGCTTACAATAGAAATGTAGAAATGACTTCCGTTCCTGCGTGTGTTGCAGAAAGTTAAACATTTAATATTTTTGTTTTTATATGGTTGCAGTGGGAAGCAAATTAGACTCAGAAGAACCTACACCAGATCGTTCTGGAGTTTCGATTTTGTTTGTTTCACCAACACCGCAAAATACAGAGCTCCTGGATTGAGTTTCTTGTATGGTTGGTTATCGGATTTGGAAATTCTCCTAGAGTTACATGCTTGCTTTAATATGTGAAGTGTTGTACATCAAGATGGGCCACATAAGGACCTGGTTCTGCAGTCATTCAGCACACCATGGGCAAAAATTCAGCCCTGGCATAAGTGAACACTATGAAATCAGTGGAATTGTGCCCACTTATAACAAGAGCTGAGTTTGGCCAAAGGCTTCATGCCCAGTCCTAAACACTCAGGCAAAAGTTTCCAGCTAGATAGAAAACTCCCATTGAAATAAATGGCAGTTCTGCCCATACAAGATCTGGGTGTAAAATGAAAGGGCAGATTCTCAGCTGCTGTAAATGGGCATAGCTCCCTTGGCTTCAGTGGAGCTATAATAATTTACACCAGCTGAGAATCTACACCAAGGGCCCAAACTGTCAGATATGCTGTGCACCCACAACTCCAGCTGAAGTCAGCGAGCGCTATGGTTGCTCAACACTCCTTAAAAACAGTCTGAGGGCCTTGTGTTGTCACTTGTCTGTGCGAAGAGAGTTTGATTAGAGCAAAATGGTAGCCGTTTAGACCCATTTTTGCATAGGTATAGGTAACTACAGAAGGTACAAGGCAAGAGCATGCAGGCCCTTAAGGGCCTCACAGTTTGCCCCACTATCTATTTAGTTTCCCTAGTGGATATGTCATCGGTGGGCCTTTTGCACCAGATTGAATGTCACATTTAGAAAAGCTATTTACAGAGTTGACAAATTTTAAGTCTGACAAATCTCATTGACTTAAATGGTGCTTGATAACATGTATAGTCAAAACTAATATTGGTACCATTTCACCAACTTGGTGGGATACTCCACAGGCTAATTCTGTCTCTAATATCAATAGGCTGGGGGTATTTAAAGATTAAGGTAAACTATAACTCCAAGTTACCACAAACCTTGTAAGTAAATAGTAATGCCTTTATTTTTTTGTTAAGAACAGCATTTTGAAAATAAAACATTTGCCCATGCTTTACAACCTTCTTAATTTTGTATACTTATATACAGTCATTACGGTACACATTGATTGTCTTGAAAATCCTTCAGAGGTGTACTTAAGATATCAGTATGCAACAAGCAGCGGAAAAAAAGGTACATTATAAAACACACATTAATACATTTAATAAATATATATTATCTATCAAAAATGAGCATTAGCTCTCCTCAATTAATAAAAAGCACCTGCTGGATAATCTTGTAAGCTGGTAGAATAGTCCAATTGTTTAATTATAAAAGTTACAGTGCTCCCTTTTGCACAGCCTTTGGTTAGACCCAAGGCATCAAACTCAAACATAGCCAACCATGATACCTGTCTGATACGAAATACAAACTAGCTAGCTCTGCAACAGTTGACATCTACCTTATTTATAGAAACAACTGTGTGCACTTAGGGCTCCATCCTATAAGGTGCTATACTTCTCCTGGGAGGTGGTAAGCACCCTCAACTCCCACTGCAGTTGGGACTGGGTCTTAATGTATGGCTGTGAACTGCTTTCTAGCCATTGAATATAAGCCACTTCCTACAGAAATGTTTTCTGTAACAAAGTTTTAAAATGTTTTAGGATTTTATTTTTCTGTATAGGTAAGAGCCAGAAGGAAATAACCATTATTAATTTTAAAAGGGACAACATAGTAGCTTTTATAGTATAAAAGCTAATTATAACAATCCTGAAAGATTTGTGTTTACAGTTACGTAGTACTTTGATCACAGATGCTCTACATTCTAAAAGGCAGAAGTAAACAACTTGTTTATATTAATAAAAATAAATTAACACAAAGGTGCGTTCAGTCACACGTTATTTGGAGCATTTGGCATTAACTATCAAATGGCAAAAATAAGTTGCTTATTCTAGTTGTGTGAAGCTGGAAAATGAATAAACTCCTTCTTCTAATCAGTTAACACACCTCCGCCACTCCAAATTGCAGACCCAATCCTGCATGCTATTACTAATGTGAACAGTCCTAACTCACATGACCACTCAATGGAACTGAGGCTTTGTCTACACTACCAAGTTTTGTCGCCAAAAACTGCCTTTTGGCAACAAAACAGAGAGCGTACACACTGCAGTGTGACTTTTTTTCGGGAAAAACGTCCGGTTTCGGTGACACAAATCTTCCACCCCTACGAGAGATGTTTTTTCTTTTCCCCTTCCTTTATTGTCGAAGAGCCAGTGTAGAAACTGCTGTTTGTTTTGTCGGCAGAACTGGTTTCCGCCAGCATCCCACAATGCCTGCCCTGATCGCTCTGCTCAGTGTTTTGATCTCTGCTGTCCTGCAAGCATGCGCCCCTTCCCTTTCCAAGTTGCGGGAAGTGTGCTGCTCCCTGTGGGGAACAAAGAGCAAATCATTGGACTACGCCTGTTCTGCCCTGCACTAGGAACACAGGGGCAGGCAGACTGCTGTCGCAGGGAGGGGGGAGAGGAAAGACTGCTGCACTGCTTTGACATTCCTCAGCATGGAGAGCTCACAGAACTACTCATGATGTGGCTCCCGGCTGCTGAGGGAGAACTCAGAGGGAATCCTCCCATGATGTGCAGCAATCCGTTCCACCTTTCCACAACACTGTGCATTGCTCACACTGTCGATGATGGTGCCCACAATGTGGACGTGATCTGTCGACAGAGGGAGCAAGTGTGAACATCCTTTAGCGATTTGTTTTGTCGACTTTTGAGTGTCGACATAAATTTTGTCAACAAAACTTGGTAGTGTAGACAAAGCCTAATTTAGGGTTGCCAACTCTGAAGCTATTCCGGGAGATTTCCCTCTTCCCCCCCATGATGTGATGTCACTTTCTTAAAATATCCTGTTAAAATCTCCTGGATTGCTTTCAATAATCACCTGGAGATTGATGCCAATTCCGGGAGACTCCAGGCCAATCCTGGAGAGTTGTCAACCCTAGACTAATTATGTGAGCAAAAGTTTGCAGGATCTGGCCTGGTCTGCACTTAGGGCCTCAAACTCCTACTGACTTCCTTCGGAGCAGGACTAGGCCCTTACTTTGTTAATCCATTCCCATCTAGAAAACTGAACACCACGTAAATGTTTACAATATAACTATCCTGGAAAGAATTTATCCAAGGTCTATAAAATGCGTATAGTACTGAATGTATACTTCTCAGCTGTAGCATGATAAATCTTTTAAAAGAAAGCTGCCCTCCCATTTATGCCATGGTCATCTTATACATTTTTACAATAAAGACCTTTTCAGAGAATTTAACATTTTTTAAATTGACGGTTTCAAATGAAACTTTTGCAGACACACATCACCACTAGGTTTTATATTACTCCAAATTATGCAGTTTCTGGGATAGTAACCATTAATTATCAAAAATATCATTTTATCTGATCACGACTTTAACAGCTAGAGGTACTTCTAGATTACTGGATAGCATGCAATATCCACCTCTAGTCTACTCAGTTTCTTAGACAATCTAGTTACCTAAACAAGAGACTAAAACCATTTTTTTTTCTCTTAAAAGCAAGCACATGCTTCCACTTTGCCTCTATTGGGAACATCAGACATGGATCTAACATGTTCCTTTAATCATGCATGACAGAAAAGTATGGTTCCTGAACCAGAAGGGCTGTTAGAAATAAAACCTTATAAGGTGATCATGGCAAGAATGGCAAAATATATCTTGTGTGTAATGCTTAGGGCCTGATCCTGCAGCCCTTACACCTGTGAGTAGACCTATTGATGTCAATGGGGCCTACTCGTGTGAGTACAAGACTACAGGATTAGGTCTGTTTACTGTAGAAATGAGGTACATGAAGAAACAGGGAGCCTTTTAAAAAAATAAACACTTATTTTTCTTTTTGCAGTATGCAGCAAATAGTATCCTTCTGTGAAGCTACTGAGCTATTCAGTTTTCTTTGTATATTATAATTTTATTTTTCATTTGAAAATAGAATATATATATATATTTATTACAACATATGCAAAATTTTTACCCTTATACGTAACCCACACCCTCATGTAAAAACAATTGCTTTTAGTATCTAGGAAAGCTAGGAGTAATGTTGACCAAACAATGAGGATACAATGATGCTTTCAATGTTTGATATGTATTAAATGCTAAATAATAAAGGAATGATTCGCTTTAAAGTAACGAAAACCATGGCAAGAATAATGGGCAGTAAGAACTTGTTACATAGCCTAGATAAGCCTTGGTAAAGAGTCTACCTTATGCCAACTCCAAAACACAAAAAACCCTGAACCTCCAGAGTGGAGACTCTACTAGCTATGCATTAAAAGACACAAATACATTAAGATGCACAAACAATTGCAGTCAATAGGGCTACTCCCATGAGCAGGGGTTTCGGCACCAGTTCCAACAGTAGGAAGAGAGGGTCCAATCCCGCAAGTTACCAAGCTCCTCCTGGAAGGTGATCGATACCTTCCCATCCCCTTGAGTTTTTGCTTGGCACCTTACAGGATCAGCCATCAGAACACAAACCGAGTTCTGTGTAATATTATGGGACTCCTTTTGGCAACCCCAAGCCACATTCTCTCCTCAGCTAAGAGCCTTTGCTGAAGCTTGTCCCTCCATAATTTGACTTAGTGCCCCCAAGTGTACATACGTTAAAAAAAATTCTCAAGGGTTTGAGAACACGTGGTTCTGTTTGTACTCTGGAGTGAGACTGCATCAACAGGGCATCTTGAACTGCAGTGTCTGATTCTACATTGCTGAGGTGATCTGCCTCTACCTTCACTCTTCACAAATGTTGCTTGACGAAGTTGCATGAAGCATACACAGTCATTTCCTTTCACCACAACCAAATCGGATACTTTCCCCCCCCACCCTTAAGTGGATCATGTCTCATTGTTGAGAAATGGTAATTTAGTTGCCACAGACTGATGATGCTTGACCCTAAATGACATTCACATAAAGATGGATAATGGAGCAACCAAGACACTTGAAATGAAGAGAGAGAAAAAGAAAGTAGGAAGAAACCCTGCATACTTTCACACTGTAATGGCAATCTCTTATGGCAGCATGGATTAAGTTGGTAAGGGCGGGAGAGGGGGTTGTTTTTTTGCAAACTGCTGTAAACCAACCAAAATCAGGCTTGCCTCGCACACTAGTTACAGACAGATTATCTCACATTTAAGAATGCACAGTGTCCTCTCTTCCATTTCAAAGTGTGCCTATTTCTATTTTAAATTAAATTCATCCTGAATTTTGCAGAGTTTTGTTTTTGTGATTTAGCTTATCAGTTTAACAGTATTCACATTTACATAAAATCCTCTCAAGGATTCCAAAGCTCCTGGATGTCTGGCTGCTTTGTTGTGGTATTATTGATTCCTCCCTTAGAAAGACACTGCCAGGGAATAATATTTGTAACAAAGATTCTTATCTCTAGAACCTATAGCCTTTCACCAGAGGTGTCTTCCAGTGTAACTTGGCGGAGCAGTTGGTATCTGGAAATAAGGATAATAAACCCATAACTAAGAGTTCCAGACTATTCAGAAATCAGTGTTAACATATGCTACATTACATGTCTAGTAGTCATAGCATTATCAGTTCTACAACAAAAGGTACAGCAAAGCTTATCTTCAGTTTGTACAATACATGTACCTCACCACAAGAAAAAGGGATGAATATGTATATATTAGTCTCTTTTGCTTTACTGTCTAAGGTAATCATCTTTAACTACTGTATGTGCAATTATTCTCCAGGAACAAGCTTTGTGCCTACCCCCAGAAAATCTCTCTAGCTCTTCATCCTTAAGCTGCCTCTTCTCTGAGCTGCTTATTCTGGTATAAGGGAATATAGGGATGGATTAATGCCGGCACCCAAAAGTATGGTGCTCATTATGGGCCCTGTAAATTATTCTGAGAGCAAGGAATGAGCGTATTTACATCACTTTTGAATGATGTATCACTCAATGTACTACCCAGGAAAGGAAAATCCTGAGATCTAATAACTCTTGTTCCCTATAATAAATTCAAACTCTACTTACTTAACAAAAAAAACCTTCAGTCAGATCAGCTTCCTTGTGGTTTTTTTTAATGTGCAGGTTGAGTTATGGAATCAGCTCATGATTTAAAATAATGAAAACCCAACTTACATGAGTGTAAACCAGCCCATGAGTAAATTTTTAAGAAGCATGTAGGTATGCATGAAAATGTGGGAATGAAAATTCTCCTTTTCTTAACGAGAGGAGAGAGCTATATGCAATTTCTCAAGTGCAAATTATACACAGCATGGGAATGAAATTTAGAGAGGCTGTTTGGCATCAGATCTCTAAGCCATTCTTGCAATGACCTTGAATAACAGTATATCTATCAAATAATAGCATGCCAAACCATTGTTTGAGAGGAAAATTAATTCACATTAGCCAAGATATTTTACATGCCCCTCTTATATATTTCTTTCCAAGGGTAGTACACCTCAATTGGTGTTCACCATATAGTGAAAAATATAGATTTTACAAGGAAAGTGAAATTGTGATATCAGCTATCTGCAGCAAAGATTCTTATGCCAAAGAATATACTGGACTGTAACCAAAAGTGTAACTTGCAGAATGTTGCAGAAATCAGACTATGTTATTAACTGTCACTTTGTTACATTTGTCCAAAGGAGGTACTGGATATGGATAGTCAGCAGAAAACTTGGTTCATTCAATCTAAACTGAATGGCCAAGTAAAGAAGTCCAAATTTTTTTGAATTGAATAATCTCAAGAGGGGAATGGAAGCATTACATGCATACTCGCTGCTAGAGATTTCATTTATAGTGTTTTCTTTCATATGAACAAGCAGTCTAACCTCAGAAGTTCATTCAATAAGTAGCGGTTGCACATTCCCCACTATATACCCAAGACTCGTACATTATCACATTTTTATACTTACAGTCCCACCATTTAGCACAACTGCCATCTCAGTCGGCTGATAAACATTGCTTCTAAAGGGAGCACTAGGTCGGCTTCCCAAGCTGCCATTGCGAAATCCTGCCGTTCTTAAAGCTGTGTTTAGAACAAGAGACAGTTTTATTCTCATGCAAACAAATCAAACCCTTCTTTTCATGTGTCAGAATAATACATATTTTTAAAAGTTACAAGAGTGATCTAGGGTGAAATCCGGATTCCGCTGAAGTCAGAGGTAGTTTTGCCATTGACTTAAA